TTGGTTCTGTTTTTCAGACGAACTAAGGTGTTTTTAAAATACTGGCACGTGGAAAAGCTGCTTGAACAGCTTCAGAAAGCTCAGGAGGCAGTGATTACGATACAGAAAGGTACTGTACCTGGTTGATGTGAATAAAATTTTTAGTTAAAAATTAGTGAAAAGTGAAAGTGGGGACTTAAAGAATGAAACAGCACAACTCTCGGAAAAGCAACAGGCCGTAAAATGTCCGCGTTCTAAAATCCCTCGCTTCCAAAATGATGTCAAATAAGTATAGCTTTTTTTGTTTTCATATCAAAACGTAGCTCCAACCTTCTATTTGAACAAAAGAGGCTTGAACCTTCTTTGAACTGGGGTACTGGTTTCAAGCACTGGTATATTTGCAATTTTATATGAAGGGCGAGAAATGTGCAAACGTTTTAAATGTAAGTGCAGAGTTAACGGTTGGGAAGCGCTTCCTGGGATTTTCGACGGTAGTCGCGGTTTTCCCAGCAAATGTGTTTCCTTAGATGCCCCAAAATTCATGTGGTTAACTTAAAACTTAAATCGTTTCTCGCACTGCTATGGTTTCGAAGCTTTTCTGAGTTCTCAGTAATTTAGAATGACAAGCTTAGCATAAGCTGTGAGCAACTGATCCATGAATTTAGCAAGTATATCAGAAGTCATTGAATTTAAACAAGGTTTTCTATGTTTGTTTAATCAATTAGTTGTTCGTGGATTCCTGGCCAGGCGAAGGTACAAACGTCTCCGTCAAGAAGCAATGATGTACTCCAAGAAAGCCTCAACATTCCTGAAATCTTCCAACCTGTGTGGAAATATTTTCTTCCAAAAACAAGGTGAACTGCAACAGCATGATCAGAGGAGAAAAGAAGGTAAATTTTTCTCGATAAACTTCGGTTTCCTACTTTCAGACATCCTGAACTTGTGCCATGATAAAAAAAGCGTTCTTTTTTTGGAAAGAGAAGAAAAAACTGCCATATTAACTGCAATTTGTTCGCTTTCAGAAATCCTAAAAAAGAGAACTCTTAACTACATTGCTGTGGAATTCCCCTCCTCTCTTTTAAACGACGACGACGACGAGGACTTTCCTCCACCCCCACCGGATGCTCTGGGACTACCCCCCAAAACGAGAAGTCATGGATCCCTAGAGGAGGTAGAGGTAAATCGTCTGCTAGGTGAACTTTGCAGTGTGATATAATTAGTATCGTGCCATGTAAGGTGATCCAGATTCCAGAGATCCGGGAAATTCTTGCTTGCAAAATGTGGAATCTTGGGCTTTGGAATCCTGGAATCCGGAATTCCGCTAACGATTGGAATCCGAAATCCAAGTTCCACTTACAGGGTATAGGAAATCCAACTCCTGGAATCCGGAATCCACGGCCTGGAATCCAGAATCCAAGACTGTCTTGGATTACCTTATATGGGGCGATTAGTAGTTCAAGGTTGTCATGGGTGTGTAATCCTATTTTTAATAATAACCGAATATGTGATCAGAGGCAGTTGTTTAATCATATGTAGACACCCTCTAATACTTCTTTTACCAAAAGGACTCTGCTGACTTTGTTTCCACCATTCTTTTACCAAACCCAGGCAGTTACTTGGCCGCCCGATAGAAACTCGTCTCCAGGGATTTTCCCTTAAGATGTAGACGGGGCGCACCTCCCATTTTCTAAGGATAAAGCCCAGGGGACACGGGACGAGCTAATGCCCCTGATATCAATCGTGATAAGACTGTGCGTCTTTGTCGTTTTTTTTCCTGGTTCGTCGCTTGCTCGGGTAAAAGCTCTTCTCGTTCGCTTTTAAGAAGTTTTGAGAGGTCGACTTGTAGCAAATCTACGTCTTGAGTCAAATATAACTGTTTGTTACTGAAGTCTAGTTTATTCTCTCTTGCTGTAGTTTATTGACGAGCTTTCAGATGATTTGGAGGATGAAGAAGACGTATTTGTAGCTCAACCTGATCCAAAAAAGAATGCGTTTGGAGGAGAAAAAAATAAAGCAGCGTATGTCAATATTTTCAGTGTCTTTTGCATATGCATGTTTTTCTCTTGTGTCCTCGAGTTATTGTTGTGTTTCTGTTTCCTCTTGTTTGGGTGTTTCGGTATCACGTGACCGAGACGCATGGGCCGCATGGAGTAACGAGACCTGGGGACTAGGCAAGGAAAACCTTGGTAATTCCTTGTTATATGATCGACCTAAGATGTCCCGTACACACGCTGACTCTGGAGGACGAGACCTTTTGTCTCAAAAAAGATGATCGGACTGTCGAATGTGCTGGTAGGGCACGCGCGCGGAGGACATACTCCAATCTCTTATTAACGCTAGTGATTGACATGCTATCATATTTCATAGTGCCGTTCAGTGGTTCAAAGAGACCCAGGCCCCAAAAGGAGTTGTACAAGAGGACAGTGGAGTGTTCAGTGAATGGTTTCACGGCATCATTTCCAGACGGTATGCAGATTGAAGTTTTTCATTTCCTATCACCGAGATAGAAAATACTAGTTCACACGATACATTTACTGTTAGCCTACTATTAGCCGTAATGATGATTCTATAGAGTGAAATGTGTTTATCTTTAGGGAATCTGAGCGTCTGTTGTCAAATAAACCAGTTGGCTGTTTCTTAATCCGCGTCAGTGAAAGCCGGTTTGGTTATACACTATCCTACAGGTAAGCCGATAATAAAGTAAAGCTCGTGCCCAGGTTTCACTGGTGTCTGTCTGTAGGTTTGAAATCACCGTGAGAGATCTGCGTATCAGATTATTGAGAACAAGACCAGTGAAAAGTCGTTAAAAGAGCGGCTGCATGGACAGGAGTTAGCTTGTTTCTATGCTTGGGGTTTTAGTCAGCTACATTGGGTCCCAGACTTCAGCAAACGCGCGAGAAAAAACCCGTGGTACTCAGGGTACTGGTCTTATTCTTGTTTAGCGAGCAGTGTGATGGTTGCTAATATCGACAATCAATTTTTTGGGATCAAAGTACAATTATGACGTTGTGAGGTTAAATTGATGTCGTTTTACCAGAAATGATAAGTTATGGCGTTGCAGGAAAGGCCGCAACCACTTTTCAGTCGATCGTATTTGAACTGCGTGCTTGTTACTTTTAGGGTGCAAAGTCGTTGCAAGCACTTTATGATCGATCAGACTCGTTCCGGCAAGTTTGTAATCGTTGGCATGCCACGAGTTTATAAATCCCTCAAGGAAATGGTGGATGTACATAAAAAGGTTTGGTTTTACCTCCATTTAGTTTGTATAACAGAGAGAAAAAAATTCCCGTAAGAAATGCCACGATAACTTGTTAAGATTTTGACGAAGCGGAAGAGATAGATTCTTTATCGAATTCTTGGAAGGAAAACAACCGGATACTGATTATTATTGTGGCGATTATTTTAAGAACTTAACTTTTGTAAGTTGCAGTCCTTTTCCTTGTCTCATTTTATGTTAGTTCTTTACAAAAGTTGTACCAAAACTAGAACAATTTCATCAAACCTCCAATATGAACCCTTGCCTCCAGTAAAGCGTTCACAAAAGTTCGTAAATGGTGATGTTTGAATGGAAATATATGACATGACTTTTATTAATTGTTACAATTAAGAATGTAAACGGTATGCACTAAATCTGGACTCAGTAGTTTTCTTGTTTTTCATAACGCAGGAACCAATAACACCCGATGGAGATCTTCTTGTAATACCTTGTGGTCAGGTATGTGGGTTACAAAGTAACTTGATGTTTTTGGTTGTCCTTCTATATAAGGAAACGTATTTGGTGAATCCAAAGGTACTTGCAGAAAATGTGGACTGCAATAGACTGACAACCTGCCGCAACCCGCTGCTTTTAAAAAAGTCAGGGTCCTAGCGCGTTAGACTTTCCATGTTTACTCTATATGATTTAGATTCCTTTCAAGCGAAAATTTCGCTATGTTCACACTAAAGGTCCGCTAATCCATGTTCTAGATAGTGATTTCTTGATCCTCTTTTCTCAAACTCATAAATAATTTATGAAGAAAATACAAAGGAAGTGAATGTTTGATGAGTCTTTGGAAATCAGATGAAAAACTGCTCGTTTTGCATCCTTAATTTCTCCTGCTAAAATCATTTTGTTTGAAAAGTAATAGCAAACATTCGACACATATTACTTCTTCAACCAGTTCAAACTCTGATGTTTTGACACTTTGCTGATCTCATCCGCTATTTCTAGAAATCCTTCTCTGTCAACCTCGTCCCTAGGGTCCTCTCCGAGAGACGAGTGGGAGAGAAGCTGGGAATGAGGTTGTCACCGTCCTCGTTTGCTCTGAGCTATCAATGAAAGGTTGTTCTTTATTGAGTTATTGCATCACCATGTTTTATTTATTTAACATTTGATTTTTCCACTGTTTATTGGTTTCATATCAATGTGCTGATGTATCGTTTAGGAGTCCGAAGAAGTAGCAGATTATGTGGAATTAATCCCCATGCTGGATAATAAGGTGACGATATTCAAAAGCTTCGGTCATTGTGAAAGTGCTGTCTTACTTCATTTTTAAAAACGTATCAGAGAATCTGTTTTTGGAGTGGATGGACCTGTTTAGTTCTTATTTAATTAAAAATTTAATTAAATAAAAGCCTTCCAGGTGTCGTTTTCAGATGTCCCACAAAAATAAGGCATATCGAGAGAGGTTAAAGGTTGTTAAGATTCATCAACTTATTTCATTCGAATTCGACTTGCATACCTCGTCTTCATCCCGTTTTCCCAGAGGTAAAAGCTAACATAAACTGACGGCCCTTGAGTACCAATCAAATTTGAGAATGCACGCATGCTCGGTAACATTCTTTTTCAAACTTCTTACTCCTTCTCGTTGTGGGTTCTCTCTATTTTTTTAAAAAAAATCCTATCAACCAATCAACTTGCACATAATGGTTTTGTTAAATTCTTTTCTTCGGTAAATGCCAGTGTGCGGGCAGTGACTAATAATTTTGCCTGTCTTTTCACAGAACAACAATAGAAATCGTTATATTAAAAGGGATGATGTCGCACCACCCCTCCCCCCTAAGTCTCCAAGATCACCCAAGGGAATAGACGGATCTTTGCCACCACCACTTCCAGCAAGAAACTACCAGGTATGAAAATACATTTTTGTAAGGGAAGACTACGTTTCCCGTATTTCATAGACCTGATAAAGATTAGTACGTGATTTTGAGTATGAAAAAAATGGGGATTACCTAGCGCTGGAAGCAGAGCTTGGCAAGGCTGGTGTAGTTTCGTGCGGTATTGTGTAGAACTGCAGAATGTTTCTATTTTTTCCACAAATGATGCTATCGCTTTGATTACCAGTATTGCTAGCCTACGTAGTAGGTGCCAGTTATGTAAGGTGAGGAGAAAAATTTCGAGAACGTGCGCGTACGCGAGGGGAGCTCCCCTCGCGCGCTCTACAAAAAAACTAACCAAAAAACCCAACTGGCACCTGTCACGTAGGCTACATCAGCATGTCTATGATACACTGCTCGAAATACAGAATAATGAGTAATGCCAAGAGAAGCGTTAAAATAATTCGCCGTGCCTCGCGAGATAATCTTTTTGGAATGTTGTCATTTAATGTATTGTGTTATTGTATGTTTTCTATAAACACTCCATTTGAAAATGGTGGATGATTCGGAGGGAAACTTCCTGGTCAACGCGGGTGTTATTTAATCATTGAATTCATTAATGTAATTAATGTCAAGGTTTTGGGGGGATATGGGATTAATGAAGAGAAGTTTGGATTGGACCAGTTTGCATTTACCCTGCATGGTCTTCATTTGTAACGTGATTGTCACTGTGATCTTATTTTGTTTCAGGGTACTCGCCTTCGCTGATGTCGTGTCTGCTGTGTAACACAGTAAACTCTCAGCTTTTTGTTGCACTAAGACCCCGCCCGTCCACACGTATCCGGATATTTTTTAAAACGGGTATTGTTAGAGTCCGGAAAATATGTTGCTCTCAACTCTTTGAAATAGAGTGTGGTAGGAAAAATTCGTGTAAATATTAAGCTAAACATATTGCGGTTTTGGAAATATTTATGTAGCACTAAGCAGCTTACAAGGGAACCTCCTCTCCTGTTTTCTCGTGTAGTTACGAATACTTGCTCTCCACTCTTTGAAACAGGGTTTAGTAGGAAAAATTCGTGTAAATATTAAGCTAAACATATTGCGGTTTTGGAAATATTTATGTAGCAGTAAGCACAGGTATGATGGTATTTTGACGTTCGGTTTGTTTTCGTAGATGCATCTAAATGAACCCAAGCACGTCATATGTTTGCGTCATTTTTAAAATAAATATTTATATGATTGTCGAACGGATGAACAAATGAATTTAAGAAATAGAAAATTGACTTAGGCAATAAATTCAGTGAAGATAACAGGTTCATCTGTTAGTGATGCTTGTTAACGAAATTACAATAACCTTCCTATTTTTGCAGCAAAGTAGTTAACTTATAAAAGTGCTGTTTAGAGCTGGTCTCTTAGTAATTCCGTGCTTTGCAATAAAAACTCTCATCATTCTTTGAACAGTTGCACAAATTATAACAAACCTCTTCTTTCTTTCCCTTGTCAAAAGATAGTACAGTACAGTGGAACCGGCTCTCCAAGGCTCGCCCTACGAAGGAAACTGGGAAGAGTTAACTCTCGTTAAGACTTCTGGAACTGTAACTAGTGACAGGGAAAAAATTGGCCAATAGCGGAACGGCTCTTCCCCACCAACAATCCCAGAAACACTTGTGGGGTGTATTTCGGCTCTAGTTCCTTGCTCGTTTGTACAGTGACTACGAAGACTCCGTGTCTGCAACTTCCTCGGCCTATCTCTCTCTCTCTCTCTGCTCCGCAGGGAACTCTTTGTGTCGTATCGTAAATCACATTTCACATTTCTACATTTCACTGTAGTACACGTTCCTGTTTTTTGTTGTTGTTGCATCTGATAATTATTCCAAGTTCAACAAAACAAATTGCTGCACTTTCATTATTTAGATTCCTCGTTTCTCCCGAAAAGTTATATTCTTCTGTAACTAGTTAAAACTTGATCAACTTCAGTTTTTTTCTGCTTTATCATATGTTGCTTGTTTTAATAAATTATTTGAGAAGTGGATTTTCATTTCCTATATACAAATACGGCTTAAAAATTCAAGTCACACATAAAACTTTAAGTACTGAGTTATAAAAATGCCAAAAAAATATAGTCTATACTCTAACGAAACTCAGATAATACTCTTTCTCACGCGCCATCATCTGAAATGTCCTCGGCGCTTTTTAACAATTCCGTTTAACACAGGGAACTCTAAGTAGGTACAAACATGCTACAAAATATAGTCTATACTCTAATGAAACTCAGATAATACTGTTTCTTGCAGCCATCATCTAAAAGGTCCTCGGCGCTTTTTAACAATTTCATTTAACACAGGGAACTCTAAGAAGGTACAAACATGCTACAAACTATAGTCTACTCTAATGGAAGTCAGATAATACTGCTTCTTGCAGCCATCATCTGTAAGTCGGTTCATTTCAAATCATTTCAAATCAAATCTCGGCAACGGGACTCTGTGTGCAAGAACTACTAAAGTAATTAGCTGCGTCTGTTTTTGAGCTATCACATATGAATTAGATTTTGTACATGACACAAAATATATACATAATAATTAGGCGAAGATAATACACCTTCTTGCAACCATAATTGTGGAGAACTGAAATTAGGCCTCTGACCAACGCAATTCAAGAACGAGAACTGAATCGATTTTACTCCAATAAGCTCTTGTGCAGGGCTCTTGAAAGAGTTTCATTGATCTCGTCATCGTCTTCAGCCGTTACCTGGTAGAGATGATAAATGCAAATCACCTTTTTAACAATTCTTATTATATTAAAGAAGGGTAACCAACAACAAAATGCCCTTCGCTTCTTTTCTTTTCAAACAAAAGTCTACCCCGGGTACAAGAGGTTTTCTTCTCGTGTGCGGCGTTATACTTCGGTATCTTGGGCAGAGGCGAAGCCACTCGCAGCAAGTGGGTCCCTTTATACACTTGGAACAGAAATCGGAAACCGCGCTAGCCTGCGTAGCAGTCGCTTGGAAGTAGTGGGCGCACGAAAGAACGGGCGCGCGAGAGAGAGACACACGAGGGGAGACAGAGCACTCCCCTCGCGTGTCTAACTGCCACGTGCAAACGAATTAAGCTACAAGGGTAGAGAATACCTTATAAATTAAAAGAATGCACGGAGCTGGTAATTAAACTAAATGGAAGTACTGCTTTAAAATGTTATGACTTAGTCTCTTTTCAATAATTGCTCTACATTTCTGAGAAACTAACCTTTAGCTTTGCAAAATCGAATGACACGTCATCTCCAATCAGCACGAATGGTGCCCAGTCCCTTGCATCAGGATATCCATTGTTCCTCATCCATTTCATGGCCTGGTGAAGACATTCACTGGCACTGTCTCCAAGCGCAAGGTGCTTGTAAAAACAGCGCATGAATATCTCTGTTGACTTGTCAGGTAGTGCCCACAGAGCCACCAATACTGAACGAGCTCCAGATCCTAAGAACGCTCGAGCGATCCCAACAACTCCTTCGGATTTTATCTGGCCACAAGCACTGTGGCAACAGCTTAGCACAACAAGTTTAGCTCGGAGCTGAACCTTTGAAATGTCGGACATGGTCAGTAGGTAGTCTTCCTCTTTTGGATGGCCATCAGTTGGTCGGCGAGGGGTAAGCGCGATTTCTCCTCTTTCGGCGTTACCATGTGCAGCGATGTGTATGAGACTCACTGAAGATATCATTTGGAGGACCGCATCTTTAGTTGCATGTTCGCCTATCAAAGGCTGAGCACCAATCAGCCGTCCAATCATCTCTGCTTCCTTTCTTGCAAAAGGCAACGCTTTCTTTTTGTCAAGTAATCCCTTGTAAATCACAAAACCAACTTCCGGATCACCAACTATCAGTGTGCCTGTCTGACTGTGATAGTCCGCTGGGCTGTTCTGAATGAGTTTCAGAGTTGTCAAGGAAGGAACCATGCGGATCCTGAATTTGTCTGACAAACTGACGCCACTTTCATCGAGCAATGCAGCGAATGGAACGCTGTACAAGAAGCGATCAGGAACAATAACAATTTCGCTTTCCTCAGCGAGTAAGTCAGCCACAGGAGCAATAATCAATTTGTAATAAAGAGAAAGACTCGGGTACAGTTCTTGGTCTTCTTCTTCTGTATCCTCCAATTCTACAAGTCGGAAACAAGAAGAGCTGTTTTCTTTGGATAATCCTTGCCCAAGTTGTCTATCATTTACAGAAGATAAAAATCGATCTTCACAATGCCCTTTAGGTAGAATACAAAGTCTCCGGAAAAGAATTTCCTTGCGTAGAAACGTATCCAAATTCTGTACCGTCTCATTCTCAACGAGAATGTCCTTTGTCTTTATTGCTCGAAACTCTACAGGTTTGTTTTCTCTAAGGATCCACAGAAAAATTTGTTCCTCAGAAAATGAAATGTACAGACAAAGAGACCTCACTTTATTGCGGATAAATCGCTCGAGGTCTTCCCGAGATTGATGATTGAATAACGGATTTTCTACATTATACTGACGTGACATTAAGTCTGCCAGACCCCTGGCCCGTCCAAGCTCTAAAGCGTGGAGTCCCTCAAAGACACAACCTGTAATAGAACCCAATTCACCAAAGATCCTATATAGGAAGCTATACTTTTCTAGAATTGATACCTTAAACTCGTCATTGTCTTTCATCAGATTATTACGCATATTCTCACACTTAGTAAGTGATTCCAACAAATTCAAAAGAGCCTCCTGTGAATTTCCTTTCTGTGCCGCAACTACTAAAAGACTTGTTTGCGCACCTAACTCTCCTTCCCGGTCTCCTATTTCTTTACCTATAGCAAATGCTTTGTTATAGTATTCTTGAGCCTTGTCATATTCTCCAAGAGCACAGAACACCCTTCCCAGGCTATTGTAACTTGCGCCCACTCCTTGTCGGTCACCGAGTTTTTGCTGAATCGCGAGTGCTTTCTCGCAATATTCTTTAGCCTTGTCGTGTTCGCCAAGTGAAGTTGACACCAGACAAAGTGTCCCGTAAGATAATCCTACTCCAGACTGGTGACCGATTTCTTGTTGGATCGCAAGTGCTTTCTCGAGGTAATCTTTAGCCTTACCATATTCACCGAGTGAGTAAAACACCTGTGCAAGACTACTGTAAATTGCCCCTTCTTCCGGCCTGTTACCAATTTCTTTATGGCTCGCAAGTGCTTTCTCGAAATAGTCTTTAGCCTGGCCATATTCACCGAGTGCGTTAAACAGCATTCCTAGGTTATTATTAGTTTCCCCCACTGCCTTTCTGTAACCAATTTCGTGGCTAATCGCAAGCGCTTTCTCGAAATATTCTTTAGCCTTGCCATATTCTCCAAGTGAATGAAAAACCTGTCCTAAATTACAGTACAGTACGCATACTTCCCTCCGATTGCCAGTTTCGTTATGGATCGCAAGTGCTGTCTCGTAATATTGTTTAGCCTTCCCATAGTCACAAAGCGCTAGAAATATCAGTCCTATCTGAGCGTAAGATATGCCTGCTTCATCCTTGTCGCCAGTTTCTTCATGGATTGTAAGTGCTTTCTCGTGATATTCTTTGGCCTTGCCATATTTACCGAGTGAATGAAACACCTGACCTAGGCTGGTGTAACACAGCCCCACGTTCCTAAGGACACCAGTTTCTTGACTGATCGCAAGTGCTTTCTCGTTGTATTCTTTAGCCTTGCCATATTCACCAAGTGAGAGATAGACCTGTCCTAGCTTAAGGTAAGATGATCCTACTCCGTCCTTATCACCAACTTCTTGCTGGAACGCAAGTGCTTTCTCGTAATGTTCTCTTGCCTTGCCATAGTCACCGACTGCATAAAACACCAGTCCTAGGTTACTGTAAGATACGGCTAATTCCTCCCTTTTGCCAAATTCCTGAGCTATCGCAAGTGACTTCTCGAGGTGTTCCTTAGCCTTGCCATGTTCAGCCAGGGCAAAATAAACTATTCCAAGGTTACCGCTAGATACGCCTTCTCCCTGCCTATCACCAATTTCTTGTTTGATCGCTACTGATTTCTCCTGGTATTGCAAAGCTTTGCCATATTCGGCCATTCCAAGATAAGCCAGTCCTAGGTTACCGTAAGATACACCTACTCCCACCTGATCACCAGTTCCTTGACTAATAGCAAGGGCTTTCTCGTGACAGTCTTTAGCCTTGCTATAGTCACTGAGTTTATAAAACACCAGTCCTAGTCTACCTAATGACTTGTTAACTTCGCACTGGTCATCGATTTCTTGATTGATCGCTAGTGCTTTCTCGTTATATTCTTTCGCCTTGTTGTATTCACCGAGTGCATAAAAAACCTGTCCGAGCTCACTGTAGCATGCGGCTACTCCCCCCTGGTCATCGATTTCTTGATTGATCACAAGTGCTTTCTCGTGATACTCTTTTGCTTTACTGTGTTCACCGAGTTCAAGAGAAACCCGCCCGAGGTTAATGTAAGATACACTTATTCCCTCCTGGTAACCTAACTCTTGTACAATCGCAAGTGCTTTTTCAAGATGTTCTTTCGCCTTACCATATTCACTGAGTGCACAAAAAGTTCTTCCGAGGTTAAGGTAAGATAGGCCTATTCCCTGTCTGTCACCGATTTCTTGGTTAATCATAAGTGCTTTCTCGTGATGTTCTGCAGCCTTACCATATTCATAGAGCGAGTAAAACAGCTGGCCTAAGCGATCGTAAGATACGGCTACTCCTTCCTGGTGACCAGTTCGTTGGGAAAACAAAAGTAAGGCCTCGTAATATTCTTTATCGTTGCTATAATCTCTTCTCGAAGGAGGCTTTGTCCCAAGACTTGGATCTCGATCCATACTATGACAGAGGAAATTCTGAATGACTATCCCAGGACTATTATGAGTGATGAAAGTAAAGCTTGACGTTTGGCCCTTTCATCGGTGTGTCTTTTTAATCCGGAGTAGATAACCTCGGAAAATTGCTCGAGACATTCTCGATATTTTGCCATTAAACAACTGTTCTACTAGGCATGGAACAGTTTTGACCCCCTGATATCATTTTTTGGCCATGAGGAATAGAGATGTCATTTCAGAACAAATTCCTTTTTCTGTGTTTGTCAGGCTTTCTGCAAAGAAATCAAATAAATAGCCTTGAATAGACGAGATTATTGATAATGATAAAAAGGCCACAAACAGCCCATTCATCAAATCAATCAATTGAACATTTCAACATTTTGCCTTAAATTCTACTGAGTAGTGAACCGCATAAATGTACGGCTGAAGGTAAAGCTACGGAAAAACAGGCAACAAAAACGTGCATCTTATTTTGGAACATTCAGGTGTTGAACGCGATGTTGCGCGTTCTACCACCCACGTTCAAACCTGTCTTGCTAGCAAGTTACGTGAATACTGACTACTGATTGGACAAAATTTCGCGGGAGTCACACCATACACAACGAAACGTAATTAGCCACTTGTTGCCAAACAAGTTTGCCTGGGCCAGTATTAAAAACGCACAACATTTACAGATTGTTGTTGCAAAAAATAGAAATTCTCTCTACTTTCTGCAACAACGTTTCGCAACCTGCAACCACCTAAGTTTAATTCTTGGATGGTAAAACGCGTAACCTCGCTATTCTACTCGTTTTGCAGCAATGTTGCAAACAAGTTGTACTTTTTTGTTGCCCGTTCAGTTCCTACCTTTATGCTAAACCCTGCAGAGGAAAGGTGTTTCGTTTCCCATCACCGATTCTCCTTTGAAAGACAACATTTCAGCTTTTGGAATAGACTTACCCGTTCGCTCAGTATTTGATTAATTTTTTGATAACTCAGGTACCAGTACCCAGATGAATGAAAATCGGCTGGCAAGAGTCCCTCCTTTTGTATAATAATTCCATAAAGCTTTCTGCTCCAAATTCTGATAATAATATAGATATATAATTTTAGTAGTGACCAAATTTTTCAAACGGAAAATTTACGACTTACCATATAACTTTCTTAAAGTAAATATGTATGGTTTCCCCACACGTTATCAATCTGAATATCTAACTCTAATATTAATCCATCTGGCATCTTCCCTATTAGAGGGGGTGAGGGGAGGGGAGGGTGAATAGGCCAAAGGATCGGCGGATTGTGAAAATCTTTTTGCCCGGATTTCGGAATAAGAGTGAAATTTTAACGGATCTGCGGATGCTGCAGAAGCAGCGGATTGCGGATACATCCATTTTTTGGCCCTGTATTTTGGACTTTGTGTGTAATAAAATATTTTTCCCGGATTGCGGATTCAGGGCGAAAATTTAAAGGCAGATTTGGTTAATAAATCATAACGGATCGGCAGATTTGCATATCCTATTCACCCCCTCCTCTAAAATGAACTGTAATTTGTCTGAGTCACTCCATTGTGTAAAAATTCCTCAAAGCGTTCTGATGGAGCAAATAAGTTGAATAATTTTTGTGGTGGCCAAAGTTTTTGAAAGATTAATCTATAAACGCGAGTTATATCACACTATCTGACTAAGACTAGGATAAACCTTCGTTGTCGGTCTTTGACCGTAAGCTACTAATAGTTGGGTCATGAACAATGTTCGTAAGTGGCTTTGTTAAAGGCGCTGCCGTCGTTTTTCACCGTAAAAAGGCCTTTGGTACAGTCAGTAATTACGATATTTTGCTTCATTAATTACTATACTTTGGGATACGTCGGTCCAATTTAAAATGGTTGGCCTCTTACTTTGATAATCGAACTAAAATTTGACGCATTTACTATTGTAAGTCGATCCCCAAATTATTGTTGAGATGCGTAGTTCCTCAAGGAATAATTTTGGTACCTTTTTGAAGCTGTACGCTGTTGACATTTTTTAAACTCGGCCTGTTAAAAAAGCAGCATTTATTATTTTCAATTATAGTAGATGACAGTCTGTTTACATGGAGGTGGGGGACCCCAGGTAGGTGAGGTAACCCACTTAGGTGGGGTAACCGCCTAGCCGGGGTACGTCCGATTGGTGATACATCAAATTCGCGCAAAATTCACTTTCGGGATGGCTTTGTATCATTACTAAAAGTAACAATAGAAAGCCACAGCCCTGAAGGTTGCAGCAAGAGCAGCAAGTGAGTGTAGAAGAGCATTTATCGCCAAAACACGTGGTTTACCAACATTTTTCTTGTTTACGTGTTAGCGACCATTCAATAATCTTGAAAAAGTGCACCCCGGGAGAGCGGGGTCGTAAGATTAAATGTAAAGGAGGGTTATTTTTTAACTTCACCTAAGCGGGTTACCTCACCTACCTGGGGTTCCCCACCTTCATGTAAACAGGCCCTAAATTTAATTGATGTAAATACAGCCTGCCAGCACGGCCTTTCCCTTGGCGTTCTTGAGAGAGACTTTGCATGATTCTAGTTAGATCTTTGTTGAGCATGCGCGGCATGTTGCTAGGACACAGTTTCGACCTCAGGCCTAATAGGCCGTGCGTTTGGTATAGCTGGCTCAGTTATGACCAGCAGTTTATTAATGAACGAATGCTCGCAACAGAAAAACCAGTTTGACGAGGGAAAACGGGACTGACTAGTCCAGAAAGTTGGGCTGCGGCGACCTCAAAGGCAGTTTAACGCGCGAGATTTCTTTGCCCCTGGCCTCCTCTGTCAAGAGAAGACAAAAGGAGACGCTGCTCATAGGGTGATATAAATACTGATATATGTATAAATATAGCCAACTTTTATACGATCTTATCGTACACTCACCAAGGTGCGTATGCTCTCTTCAACCAACTGTTCTGAAAACTTTAAGGCATCAAAGTCCAGTCAGACGATTTCTCTCGATTGTGACAAATCGAAGTATGTCATTCGAATCGAGTCGCATCACACTTTTTGAAAAATAAAATAATAGAAACGACATAGAAAAGAAAGTCGTTTAAAGTTAACTGCTGTCCCTGACTAACAAAGGCCGTCATTACAAGACATGGATGTGAAGGCCTCAAAATAAACTGATAACGATATTGGTTTTAAAAGATAGCGAGGAGTTTGGAAGCACGTCACTATTGTTGTTGTCAAAAAACAAAGAATTTTTATTGTTGTCAAGAAATCCACATATCTGACAGACCTTTACATGCAATTGAAAATTTACGTAATAGCTGATAAACATTTTTAATCTCCGCGATTTAAAAATTGTTTAACTTGGTAACTTTCCGGGTAACGTGCACATCATTAAATTTCGGTATTATTTGGAAACATCTAGGACTATTTCAAAAGTTATGCTCGGTCCGTGGAGGAATAATTATCAGCATTGAACTACAACGAAATATGAGAAAACAAAGAAACCAGTTCTATAAATTACACTGAATGCTTAGAGATGTTTGTCCAACGTGTGTGTTCGCCTGATTGTAGAACACTCAATCTCACAATTTACAGGTATTGAACTGATAGTGTAGATTTATTCTGTTACATAGGAATTTAACCATGGAAAAACCTTAACACACGATATGGATAAGCTTTTCATATATTTGTACTTACCACAGTGAGTTTTCCTGATTGCAAGGTTTGTACAACTGAAAGCAATAAAGTCCGGTATTACACAACTTACTCTTCAAAGACTTCATTCTTATTGTGACATTGTTTCAGTCTCGAAGGGGCTAGAATTATAATTTTGTCTCCGTCAAACTGAAAAATTCGATTTCAATTTGGAGTAATTTACTATAACACCTGCTTACTCTGTAGACATTGCAATACACGATGTTTTTGTCTCTTTTGAAGATATGCACTCAAACTAGTTACTAAAACGAGGGAAATTTCCCTACAACATCTATTAATAGTTTAGAAGAAGTCGAAATGGTAGCAGAATAGCAAACTAACCGTGTATTCACGCCAATCGTGTATCAAAGCAAACGGCAATGGACGCACCCTGGATTTTTCCACTGGAGTCTAAAGCAGCAGACGAGTGATTCACTTCAAAAAACGGATTTGAACATTTCATGCCGTCATAAAGTGATACACTCTGACGTAGTCTATCCTTAAGAGTGTACTGTAGACAAAAAAAAACTGCTCTGGTCTGTAAATAGTATTCGGTCGAATATCTATTCTCGGAAAATCACGCGAGCGTAAACAGAGGAAGAAAAATTTATGGTATGATAATACTGATAATATAATATATTAACTGACTTAATACAACAGGATCAAAAAAATCCCTGGCAAGGGAAAACCAGTTGGCTCGTTACAAGCATTGACAAGGCGTGGAACTGGTGACTACCAAGAAACACTGAATAGGGGGACTCAATCCGAGACCTCTAATGGCAAGACAGGCGAAACGGCCATGCTGCATCATTGTCCTGTTTCAATATTGTGCTTGTTCTTGATGTATAGAGGCGAGACAAACAAAGCTAACCAACTGTGCCAGATCCATCGATGGTTAGTAGTCCAGCTGGAGTTCGAAACCGCGAATTCCCGCTTCCCGCACAGTATCTAGACCTTTGCTTTGCGTAAACAGCTACCAGCCTGGCTTACCCGGGATGTAAGTTCTGTACCGTCCCCCTATGGATCCAAAGCTTAGGGAAAGTCTGGGTGTTGAATTATACTGAGGGCAGGATGTGTACTTTCTGATACAAACGAATGGTTGCTATGGTAAAATAATCATTTTATTAATTTTATAAACGGAAAGATGTTATTGTAATTTAGGGCACGCCAACAAAAATTATTTACTGACAGAAACCTACACACGCAGCTACCCCTGTCCACCCCGGGGGGGGGGGGGGGAAGGGTCCTCCCGAAAAAGGACAAAAAAGGGGTGGCCGGGGGGGAGGATTGGGTTTTCAAGTCGTTTATTTTGGGACAGGAAAAAAAAAGCTATGAAAAAGGCGGTCACCACCGGAAAAAAAAATAATTTCCCCCCCGGGGGGGGGGGGGGGAAGCGTACTGCCAGAAATGGACCATAAAGGATGTGCCGCTGAGAAGGATGTGGTTTTCAAGTCGTTTAATCTGGGACAGGAAATAAAAAGCTAGTGAAAAGGCCGTCATCTACGGAAAAAAGAATCATTGACATGAAAGCTCATGAAAACTTGGAGTTTTCTGGTTCATAATGATTTTTGGCGCCTTCGTCCTACTTTATACAGCCTAAAAAGCTCGCTCCACTCGGTTTACAGCTTTTCTGCAGTTAAACTCCAGAGGTCGACTTGACTCAAGTGTATTGAACATGGCTATGACATATATATGCCACGGGTTTTAGGGTTACAGCGACACACCCTCGCCCATAGCTTCCTACAGTCCTCCCTTTTCATGATCGCGTAGTCATCTGTGCCCATTGTTGTACACGTGATACTTAAATTTCTCCGTACTCTCGTCATGTAAACGTAGCACGACTTTCATACTCTCGTAAAAAGTCACTTAAAGATGAAACTTGCCGATATCACAAAAGATGCGTTCATATAAGACAAGCAGAGGCCAGTAATAAAAGAGTTCCCTTGATAACTTCTAAACACATTCTCTAAATCCAGCCGAGTTATTTGCCCTTAAAATCCTGGGACATCTCTCTGTACACAAACTGAGTCAGTTTGAGAATGAACCAGTGAATAAACAACTGGATTAACAAAGCGCCAAAACCCTTGTAAAACCCTCCAAGACCCTCATCTCTCCAAATGGAACGAAAACAGTCAAATACACCACCATAGTTGGTGCATAGTGGCACAACACCACTACCAGTGTCTAAATCATCGATGATGGTCCTCGTGCCCTGAACATACAGTTGATTGAGAACTGTTTCCAGTGGATATAACAAAATTTCCGGGATGAACAGTGCAAGAAAATTGCCTACAAGCTCTGGGTAGTATGTCTGTGTCATGTCTGTGGAATCTGGAGGTTCGTCGTCAGATGACGTAGGATGCTGATCACGTGACAAACTAAGACCTCTTCCCTTCATTTTAATCAGTACCAGGTGCTGGATCAAGGTGCCCAGAATGTAGGTTAGCAGACCGTGAAGCACTGTGGGTAATATCAGGGTCCACATGGGTAGAAGACGGCCATGGCGACCTGAGGACCTATCCCAGCCAACAACACGGTACATCCAGTCCTTTAAGCTGTCTAGCATGTTGTCTTGATCACGTGTGAGGTCACTCTGCAAGAGGCAATACATCATTAATGGTATGCTGCAAACGCAGATGTATTTCCCAGTGGCAGATCCAGACCTTCAGATAAAGAGGGCGGGCGGTCATCCAGACCCTGAGATAAGGGGGGGGGGGGGGGCGGTCTTCAAGAAATTTTTTTTGGCCCTTTGGGCCTCAGTTTGGACTCAAAATAAGGGGGGGCCGCCGGGCCTCCGCGGCCCCTCCCCTGGATCCGCCACTGTTTCTACTCATCTCTGGGAGGAGGAAAGCAATGACTGGAAATATGTCTGGGTTTGAAAGCTACATTAATAGATCAGAAGTTCTTTTTTTGCTGTGGCATCTGCCAACTTTCCTACACTCTCAAAAAAAGAAATGCTGAATTGAAAAGTTACCATAGATATAACTGGTTAAGTAATAGTTATTGATACAAAGAAATATTTTTTTATAAAAATAAATCTTTTATGTTGCCTGTCATTAAAACAAAAAGATACATGTACTTATCAGAGGATCTCCAAACACAATCAACTGTTATTGTTATAAGATTACACGTTCACAATTAACTTGCTCCATTTCATAATGAGTGTAGATCTATTATTGGAGGCTGCAAGCTTGCAATTTATTTATCATTATTAAAAACTCCACACTGAGAAAGAGAGTTTTACCTTCACTGTTTCTGTCAAGCTTGTGGCTGCAACCGGCATACTGATGGCCAAACTTAAACTGAAAAAGAAAAACCAAAACCACAAAATTCATTTCATCATTGAGATACCAACAATATGATGATAGCTAGCATCTCAGACGCCGCCTTCCTAAGAGGTCCTTACCTCTTTTGACTTCTTGCCTTTTTTCCTACTTACACATAGTCAAATATAATTCCTTTTAAACAGTTTTATATTATTATTACACTGTACACAATCTGAAGACAAGGATACTCACCCTTTTAGGAGAAGATGGCCCCCTACATCCTTACAAGAACTTTTACGATTAGGAGCATCCCTAGATGTTAAAAATTAAGAACAAATGTGTTAATACTATAATCATTATTACTTCATCCCAGGGACTTGAACATAAACATTGCAATTCCTATGGCATGACTTTTCAAAAGCCTCCTTTTACAGTACATTCATATTACAAAATGTTCATGATGGCCAGCCTATTTGTGCTATAAAATTAAGAGCTTTTAAAGGGTAATTTGGATTTTAAAATGTTGCTTTTATAGTTGACAAAGGCACCTTAGAAAGGAAAAAATCTGAGTTGTGCAATCAGGGGTATATTTGCACTAAGCTGGGATTCAAGTTTTTTTTTAGCTCTGATAAGGATGTTGTTTTTTTCAGTCAGTGAGACAGGCAACTCAGACTTCCAAGCATGGTCTTTGTCGCTAACAGGTATCCTTATCAGTTTCATCAAAATGCCATCCACATGAAAATAAATAATTATCTACTGTAATGTTAACTATGATGAGCAACAAGAACATCCACCAAGGAGGCTAGGATATCTACTTGATTTTGAATACTCTTACGTCTGGTCAGCTATTTCAGAACAATACAATTTACCCTATTGAAAGACACTTTTGGCTTCATATCGCAAGTTACCAGAAGAGCTGCTTCTTGCAGATTCAAATATTATTAAGTGCAAATGCATGTTTTACTTACTGGGGTAGATGAGTCAAACTACTGATGCCTGCCTCACTGAAGAAGTTAACAGCACACACAACATATGTACTACCACAACCCTTCCATAATGCACCATAGCTCTGAAACAGTGCAAAAGTTGACATGACTTATAACGTTTGAAACAACTAATCACATGAGTATTCATTAAGGTACTTACATCATAGTTACATACTTTAAAACAATTCTTTACCTGATTTCTTTTGACCCTGAGAAGTATCTGGAAAACGGTGAATGGAGACAGGTGATACTTTCTGGCTCCATGATTTACCTGTTACACACAAAATGAAAAAGAAACAGTGCAGGTCAGAACAGGGTTAACACAGAAAAAGGCACCTTTAAAATATGCAGAAAGTCTGCAGTAGTCTACAGTTCAAAGCTTATAGTTACTGCCGATCTGGATAAAAACACTGAAGACAATTGAGAAGGTGTAGATCCATTTCAAACTTGGAGAGATTGGAACAAGAGCAATGCTTTGGGAAGTTTGGCCTCTTTATAGTTAGACAGTGACTTGTTAATATATTGCAATAATGTAGTTATAATAAATTATCCACTCCCCTTTGGAGCTTTTCATGGATAATTTACAATACTTGTTAGAGAACTTTTTCCAGGCTGCTTGTGCCACAGTTTACTATTTTTTATGAGGTAATCCCGGTTATGTCCTGCTAAATTACAGAATATGAATTTGAGATAGATCACTGCCCCAGGAACTGTGCCCTCTACTCTTTACCAAAAGCTTGTCGGTTGTTTAACCTCATACAGAATTTATACATGTATGCAAGGGTTATGAGACAAGACCTTAATAGTTTATCCTGCGAAATTAAGTACACTAGAAAGCCTAACCAGGTTCAGATCCATACCAGTTTCCACAATTTTATACAAATTGGTCAGATTTTTCATGATGAATATATTTTTGGTAAAAAACTTTAAACTTTGCAAGTTAAAATCTGAAAAATGGTTTGGACAGTTAGTAAATATCCTGTCTGAATGAGTCAGAAACCCTGGAAAGGGGACTTGGGGAGTTAAAATCCAAAAAATTTCCCAGGGGAACACGCCTACTAACTGTTTGCGAATGTTATAACAAAGGCAGCACTTTCTTCTCATTTGGTTTAGGACCCTGAATGTTGGTGTGGCCAGGGTTGAATTGGCAGCCAGCTCCTGCTTGGCAGACAGGCACTTATTAGCTAAAAGAAGTAGTAAACAAGTACCTGGCATTGTCTTCTAAAGACTGTGAATGGATGTGTCAGAAACTGAGCAGCTAAAATACTAAGAAAGAAAGACACATGACACACACATTATCATGAGAAGAAGATTTGGGGGCAGTATAACTCATGTAAAGAAAACTCCTGCATTTATCTTTCCTTCCTCATTTTATTACCTTCCTGTTCCAATAGCAAAACCAACAAGTCTTTGTGAGCTTTCTGTCAAAACAAGTTATCACAATAACATTAATACTATAATTTAGCCACATGGTTAGCAGTTCAGATGGTGGTAATATTGTATAAATGAATAATATTTTATCCACAGTGTAAAACAATTTCATCATGTGAGGGGAAGATAATTAAAGGAGGACTTTAGAAATCCAACATCATGTCCCAACCCTCAACAGCTGTAGTCTCAATCTGAACTTCTAACCCAGCCCTTTGGTGGGATATCTAAATTTTGTAAAGCAAATCAGCTGAAATAGTGAGACAAAATTTTATCACTTGAACAGGCGCCATGACCATTGCCAAAGCTCATCAGGGGGCTAGTGAATGAAACCTGCTGAGGAATCCTGACACCTTCTGACGTTTTAGTTTTGACGGCTGACATTCATTGTAAACTGCCACATCAGAACATATTTTTTTGGCTATGTTTAAGAAACCTATGAATTGATTATTGTTCTAAGCTGGCTCAACAGTGGCATGACTTGGTTTCAGACAAATTCAGTCAAATAAAATACCTTCTGTCAGAAATAAAACATAATGTAAAAGCCGGTTTAATGCATTTATAACTTATAAAATGAGTTTGGCATAGTAGAAGCACAACGTTTGACAACGCTGAAAAAAGTTATTTAAGCCTAAGCGTTTAGAACAAAATAGAAAAATGGCTCCTGTTTCTATGCTCTTCATTTATGGTTTTGGACATTTCAATTTGATTTAACTCGTTCTGGCCGGAGCTGAATACATATGATAACATTAACCTACTTCTTATAATATTCTTATAATATTATTGTAATATGTGTGCAGAAGTTTTAACCTGGCTGATGTTTTACAGTCGATTGGATGCCAAAACATTTATTGACATAAATTTATTCCGCTTTAACGATTTCGTTAATCGAATTACTGTTGCATTATTTTCATTTCAAGTAAGATCATTTAATTAATTTCAACTATACTTCATTGAATGACTTGAACGCTGGTTATTTTGGAGCAAGCCTACAGGCCCATTGACCATGGAGTTATCAGACGTTCTTGACTAAATATGTCTAAATCACTCACCTATTTGGTGTTCTTTGGGCGTTTTTCTATCAACGGAGGACAAAATATTTTCCTGAGCTTCAGTTTCCTGATCGTTAACAGTTTGTCGCCGCGAAAGAGGCAAATTTTCTCTTTCGATTCCTCTCAGTCTATCGAACACCATTTTGATTTTCCCTTACTGATTGCCCAGTTCATCCTCTGATACCTATACCGCGCGAGCAACTGGGAAAGGTTTGGTTTACACAGGTCAACCACCTTGTTCGTGTGTGATCGCCCTCGTTATTATTATTATTATTTTTTGTATTTTAATAAATTTTTGTTTTGCTATGTAATCCATTTGTATTACATTATCAGTCGCCCTCGTTATGTCTCTCACAGGACGCCCAGCTGGGGTGGGCGGGGGGAGAGAGGGGGGCATGGAGACACCCAGGGCTGGAGACTGAGCTTAGGGGGGAGGGGGAGGGTATACTCCCTTTTATGGCCACTACTGGCTCGAAAGGGGTACCTCTTTTTAGATTCAGGTCAGAACAGGCAATAGCCTGCTAGCAAGCTCTCCTATTTAGGCGAGCGAAGCGAGCCTCGCGAGAACGCGCGAGCGAGGGGAATTCTGCCCCTCGCGGCCTTGCCGCTCGCTCGCGCGTTCTCGCGAGACTCGCTTTGCTCGCCCAAAGAGGAGAGCTTGCTCGCAGGCTAAACAGGGAATGGATTTTACTAGTTGAAGTCCGTAAAAGGATAGTGAAAATCATTTTTGTCTGGAAAGAGACCTAACGGGGCCGCAAGATGTATCAGAGGTTGTGGAAAAGAAAACTTCCTGGTTCACAAGTCGATTAAGGGGTTGGACCTCGGGGCGGCGCCTCCCCTCATAAACCTTGTTTAGTCCCCCCGGCGGTGTCATAACATCGCAAGCTCGTAAAATCCGTTTTGGTTAGGGTCATCGGTCAGGACTGCAATAAAAAACTTCTCATGACTTTCGTCACTAGTTTTCGCTACTTCGTTTTTCAAAAAAAAAAATCAATTTGGGGACAACAAGCAAGCCAAAGAATGCGGACCGGAGGAACAGCACCAATCTCAACGAAACTAGAAAGAGTTTTGAAATCCTATTTTTATATTTGCCTCTGCTTCCGACTTCACTAGAACATATAAACGACAAAGTCAAAGTCGGCGTTATTACGAAGTACAGAGTGGACCCGTTGAGTTTCATTTAAGCTAAGAATTCGATTTTTGATTCAGTCACTAATTGCGACTGTGACTGCATCGCTTGAAATTAACCAGCGAAAATGACTAAATATACCATAAGAAAAAGTTTTCAGTGTGTCGTCCAATTGCTGATGGCTTATGGGTACATACAACGGTTGTACGACATACGTACGATACTTATTTTTAATACCGTACGCATATGATGTATGTGATGTCATAAGGTTTGCACATCATTGCTTATATTTACAGCAAAAACTCAGCAAAAATAGCCTCTAGAAAAGTCGAAATTCTGAGTATAATAGTAATAATAACAATAATAATAATAATAACACATAATAGAAATAATATCGAGACATTTCCCAGGGTCAAAAGGCGCTATTTACAAGTTTAAAATTTAAAAACCACAGTAAAGAACTACAAAAACTAAAGATAAAACAATTTTAGATATAAAAACATCACAGTCAAGTCATCAATTTAAAAAAGCGCGTCTTAAAAAAAGCTGCGTGAAAAACTTCAAAACTTCATGGGCAGCTTAAGCAGTTCCGATTTTCAGTCAATTTACATCACAGGCCATCGACGACCTTGACTCTCGACCAACTAAACGAAAATCATTTTGTCATGTTCATAAAAGAATAAATCCATAATTTGTCAATGTATGTAGGAAGACCGCGGTACGAAGTAAGGTGAAATGTGGTATCCTGCTTTTATTACGCGATAACTGACGGAATTTTTCTCTCCAAAAATTTTGAGTCTCTCTGTTGTCCAAGATCAGACTGGGAGATGGCTTCCAACCCCCAACATTTTTTCTCTTCAATTCAGGAGTCTAACAGATTTGATTAGTCTTCAGTTCATTTTGAAACCAAATGCGCTTTTAAGCTTGAAGGTAAAAGAATCTAACACAGTGGCACGCATATATGGTTCATTTATGCATAAAAACGTGAATTTAACAATATAAACCTGTCCATGACTAGTATCGTTGACTGAATTAATTAGCAACTCTTATGCCTTGCGGTCGCTTTTTTGGCCAGCATTATCACTGTATTGTTGTTGCCAGTAACGCGTGTTGAAAGTGAAATGAATATGGACAATAGCACCGAAACTAAACAAGAATCGTCGTCTCCTGGTAAACTGAAAAGTTTGGCAAAAGACGTAGATCTGAAAGCAGAGATGGACAAGGCGAAGGAATGGATTAAAACTAATCCATTACCAGCAGGCAAGTCTGAGATTCGCTGATCATTTAAGTATATAAATAGCATTTATAACAGGAAGACTTGTAATATCAATTTACCCAGTTCGGAAGCCTTTTTCAGCTTTTTGTGAATCTCTTATGGGCGTGTCGCCACAAACTACGGACAACCCGTGAAGAACACATGCTTTTAGTGAATGAATCCATGTTCAGTATCAAAAAACTACAAAAGCGCTGGAGAAATTATTTCAGGATCGTTCTTGGTTCTCTCAACGTTGTATCAGCTTATTTCCTTAAGACCAAATATATTGGCTATTAAATGTAACTATCAAACTACGAAATTTTTATTTCAATATCAGGTTTATACATGGTTGCATTAGTCGAAACGGCGATAATTTCTGTTTTTATGATGGGCGCCATTTATTTTCGAACATAAAAATAGATGCAGTTAAATACCGCCAGCTTTGTTGGCCTATCAGAATGATCATTTCCCGTAGTTGCTAGGTTGGAGGAAAGCCAGAAAATAATGTCAATATATATCAGGGGAATATATAATTACACTGTACATGTTGTATTTTTGGGCGAATGAAACAAAAATATTTTTCATGCCGATTACTGATTTTTGATGGGTGTGAAACAATTTTCTGAGGGAGTAGCACCGGGGAATATGGAATTTTAAAAAGACTATCTTTTGTTAAAAAGTGAAAAATATGTTTGAAGAAGTCCAAAAAGAGTTCTGTGCGTGACAAATGAAGTCATGGATGCAGTCAACTTTTGATTGGATGAGGGAATCGTCATGTGACAATTCCCTAGAGAGAATAGACGACTCGTTTGCAATCCCGCCTTGGAATAGCTAATTTCGTTGGAAACTTGCAAAATGTCGACTTCGGAGACGATAAATACGGGCAAAGAGAAGCTCGACAATTGGCTGCATCAAAAGAACTACTTCACTGATGTCTTGGAGAAGATCGAGCAGAAAACTGGGGTGAAGAGGATCTATCAATTTCTCGGTAATAACGGTTTCGTAATGAACCTGATCCCGCGTGTGTAGGCTAAAAGGGTTTCTTTCTTTTCAGGTTTGGTTGGAATATTTGCGCTCTATCTGGTATTCGGCTACGGGGCAGACCTTATAGTAACAGTGCTTGGTTTCGCCTATCCTGCTTACCAATCGTAAGTAGCTTTAGAGCTGTCCGATCACTCTGTTATTTGCATTCAGCCGCCATTTGCATTTAATAGAGCTGTCTACTTGAAAACCATCTGCCTTCCCAGCAAAATTGCACGTTTCTTCCTTGTTTAATCCTTCTGAAGTCGTCTCCATTGTTTAAATAATCAATTTAGACGTAAGTGAATTTTCATGCTGTTTTCGTTTTAGAGTAAAAGCCGTCGAAAGTGAGACAAAAGAGGACGACACTCAATGGCTTATTTACTGGGTGGTGTTTGGGGTTTTCAACATTGTGGAGTTTTTCTCGGACATTCTTCTCTCGTGGTTCCCTCTTTATTTCTTAGTTAAGGTATGATGAAATTGAATGTTTTTAGGCATATTCTATGTAAATTGAATTGTGTTCGACGTCTCGCCCTTCATGAAAAATATGCTAAACACAAACCTGTCCGCACCGGTTAAATTTTCATATTACGGACTTCGAACTTCGTCGTGAGCCAGTTTATTTTCTCAATCCAAAGGATTTTCTTTTTGATGAAATAAGCTTATTCAAACTGGCGTTGTATCCTACTTATAAAAAAGAAGCACAGTCTACGAGACAACTTAAAGCTGTTTTTGAGCGTTGAAATGGACAAAATTAACGTTTACGATGTAAGCTGACCTTAAATAATAGGTTTAAATTTTATATTACTTTTCTTTGTAGCTAATATTCCTTTGCTGGTGTATGGCGCCCGTGTCATGGAATGGAGCTAACACTCTCTACCATAAAGTAATCAAGCCTTTCGTGCTGAAACACCAGTCACAGATCGATAAAGCCCTTGATAAAGTTGGAGAGAAAGTAGACGCAGTGGCTAAAGAAGGTACTAAGCACACAAAATGATTTACTGCATTGCAAATTAAAATGCATGGTGTATGCAAAGAAATTAAGCCGTCATAACAATTTCTATGTACGTACAAGTATATTTTATCTGCTCTAGTCAAAATTATATTAAAAATTCTGGATTTTAATTTAATGAGCAACAGTCTGTATTGAGCTTGAAAAATTTGTTTGATGCAAAGCGAGGGTTATTAAGTGCGTGAAGAATTATATTATTTTTTGTAAGGGACTGCAATTTGGACATTATTGTCTGATAAACATCAAACAGTATCATTTGGAGTTGTAACTTTGTTAAATAATTAAAAAGCATAACACTGAGCAGGTGTTGAGGCAGTTCTAGTCGTAAACATAATCAGCTGTCATACAACTTTGAATCATCTGCGTTTTTATAACATAACCAAGATAGTATGCGCATTCTGATTGGTTAAAAACCTATGGTTTATTGTGCCGGTAAACTCATAGCAAACTTAAAGTTATTTTATAAAAGCAATAGACCACACTTTCTATGGGTTTACCAGCATGATAACCCACTTGGGATGTTGGGAGAACACTTGAAAAGCTTGTAAATTACTCACCTTCAGCTCATGATTTATAAGCTTTTCTGGTGTTCTCCCAACATCCTGCGTGGGTAATGACAACGGTAAACCCATAGGAAGTGTGGTCTATTGCTTAATTAAATAGGCCAGGTTTTGTACGCAGTATTCTGGTAAATCAAAGAAATGGAAATACATTTCTCCAGATGGTATAACTGTAATTGAACTAACTTCATAAACTGCACCTTATCTTTTGTGTAGCCACACTCACTTCTTAGTCCCAGTCTCTCTGCCAAAACATTCAAATGCCCCTTTCCCCGAGCAAGTGTGGTTGATCAAACATCCCTCCCAGGGGATGGATTTCATTGCATCAAGTCCTCATCTATTGCTTGCGCACTCCCCCCTCCCCCCCCCCCCTCCCCCCTCTGTCACCTCTTTATCCTTTTTTTCTTTTTTTTGTTTTCCTGGTTCTTTGTTTTATTGGTGGTTTCTTGTTTTTTGATTTTATTTGTTTTTTTTTTTGTTTTGTATGTTTTTTATGTTAATCCCCCCCCCCCCCCCCCCCCCCCCCCATGTTGCTGGGGTTTATCATGATAGCCTTTTCTCTTGGCTCTGTATAGATGTTATTAGGAGATAAGTGATGTTATTCTTTCTTAGGGCTTAAAGAGTTTAACACTGTTTATGAAAAGCAGTGTTAAAAAAAATAGCTATGGTTGGCCAAGCTGAAAATGGTAAACAGAAATGTGGGTTTGATGATGATTGGCTATGCGCCATTAGTAAAATCCAACTAGCGGTCTATTATCAATGCTGCGTTCTGATTGGTTGAGCTACTACTAAGCTATATGTTATAGTCCACTAGAAGCGAAAAGTGCTGGCTTTGAAAACCAACACAATGGCGGCTCAATCGCACTTTGCTAGCTAAAGTGGTTTTGTCTCAATATTTTTGACCAACTAGTTGGATTTTACCAAAACAATTTATTCCTCTCACCCTCATGGTCTCTTGAGTCAATAGCCTTCGGCCTCATGGGCTATTGACTCATAGCCCATTCGGGCTCAAAGGAATAATAAATTGTCAATTATCATAACTGACTGAATGTATTTGTTCATTTGTTTTCTAGCCAAAGATGCTGCAACTGAGGCTGCAATAAGAGCTGCTACAGAATCAGACAAGAAAGATTCCTAAGATTCTGGAACAGGTGTAACAAATAAAAATAATCACTACTGAAAAAAGAACGTTGTAAGGGAAGGAGCACTTGTTGAAGTAGCTGTTCAATAAATTATACTCAATTGCAGCAAACACACTGTCGTGAAGAGACTTAGCAGTAGGAATGTTTGTCTTGTTGTAATCTTTTTTTTATGGGTTTTTAGCTTTCTGTAACCAAATTTCTCCTTGTGTGTCTGAGACCCATACCATCTGAGAAATAAATATAAAAGTTGAGTTGAACAGAATCTGTGTAAGACTTGGCTGGAATATTTGAAAACTAATAGGCACTTCATTACGATTGGAACACCCAGTAGAATTTTCTAGCATATAATAAAATATTTTGAAAATGTGAGTTTGTCACCACTGTCTTTACTGATGAAAATTCTATGAAAAGGAATAAAACAAGGATGCGCTTCTTGAACATGCAATAAATAACTTGTCTGGTGCACTGAAAGATGATGAATACAAAATGTTTTGTTAGAATCATATGCTTGAAATGTCCTCTAAACTAAACAAAGTTTCCATCAAGATAAATTCAAGAAGTGGTAGATGGTGGGGGTCTCCAGAACTGTTTAACATTGTTGAAAGTGACTAGAAATGCATAACATGCATCTGAACCTTGGTAATAAATTTTCTATAAATTTTCTATAAAGTACCACCTGAGATGTTACTGTTAAACAAAATTAAATTCTTTCTTAGCTGTTTCATGCACTACAGTACTACAATGTCGTTTGGGGGTCATCCATGTAATATTAATTATGAAAATTTTCCATTACCTAGAAAGCCTTAAAATTTTGTTTTCTATGGCAACTTTCTCTTAAATTAGTTTTGTTGCTTGTTCAGATAGTTGAAAAACAGTAAATCTTCAGTTTGTACAGAAGTGATTCAAATACGTTTGATGCAATGCAATATTGACATACCACAAAATAATATAGTTACACTATACCTGGGTACTTTGTTTGTTACTCAAAATGAAAGAGAGAAATGGGTTCTCTCTGTAGTTTGCCATGAGTCATAACCACGATAAACCACAATAGTGACACACAAGAAAATAGACAAAATTCTGACCCAACATTTGAAAAAATTAGGGTTCAGGTTTTGTTTTGGTTGATGTTGAGTAAACATCACTTTGTTTGAAACTTGGCAGATTTGAAAATAAAGCGATGGATGTATAATATTATTGTTTGCACTATTTTTATAACCACAGGTAACCTTTACTGGTGGTTTTTAGTGTGAATAAAAAATGGCTTCCTTCTGGGGTACACTTTGGGTTCTGATTTAAAAGTAATGTATGCAAGCTTTTGGGAATGTGTTCTTAATAGAAAACTTATATTCTTGCTTTCTGGGGACCAAAGGACTTGCCGTGTATACTCTAGCCGTCACCGTGTTTTAATTATTATTCATAGCTTGTGAGCAAGCATCCTGTTTGAAATTCTTTGCCGCTTGCTCACATGTGATGTTCATCTCTTGAAAATTCAAACAGAGAGCTTGCTAGTAAGCTACTTATAATGTGGGCAGCATTTGTAATGAGCTCATTTACAGTTCCTCTATGATTTATTTCACATATCCTATGCAAATCGCTTTTTGGTAGTTATTGCAATTGAACTATTAAATTTATAACAGTGTATGTAATTATTTTAGGCTTCTAAGCACAGTAGAGTTAAAAGTAATTGATTTGCTGGCACCTAATTGCACTATAAATAAACATGTGAGTTTCTCTTAAATGTGTTGGTTCTGTCTGTCCAGTTTTGGTAAATTACCACGCAGGTCTTGGGAGCCACCAATTTCTTTCAGTTTCATTGTTTCAGGGCTCTGATTCATGTCCATTAAAGTTAGGTCCTTTGACATTACAGTTAACTCCCTTTATTACGGACACTGTAGGGACCTCAAGTTAGTGTTCTCATTAGCGAGAGTCCCTAATAGCAAGATTTTCAGTCAAACGTCTGTAATTTGTTTTTGCCGGGGATTTAGCTGCTGTCCATATTATTGGGGTGTCTGTTATAGTGGGGTGTCCACAAGGCTAGACAAGGCTGACTGTATTTTGTTCTGTCTGTGGATTACTACTATAACGATAATATGAGACAAGATTACAAACGAACAAAAAATCCTGGAGGAAATACGTCTTGAGCAGGCTTGTGTCTTAGCAAGTCAACTTTTAAACGAAAAGAAACGTCTTATTTGTCATTCCTTTAATAGATCCACAGTAAATACAGCTGTGGCACAGTCATCCCACCCAATTCCTTTTGGAAAAAAATATGCCATTCTCCTGTCCAGTCTATTATCATGGCAAAACATCAAGTCGACGCGTAACGACACAGAGCCAGAGGCGACAATCACCTGCTTTACAAAATTATCACGGGATTTGGTGATGGCAGACGGGTACTTAAAATGGTAGGCACGACTTATTTCCAGCTGCAGTGAATTTATTGCAGCGTAAAACGGGGGGAAATAGGAACAAACATTTGGTCGTAGTCGTTAAAATACAAAGTTGCCTCTAAGGCCGTACAATGAAAGTTTAAAATTTTATGTGAAAGATGAGCTCCAATTAATGTCTCATTTTTTAGGACACGATTAAAACTGTCACAAGAAAGAAAATGCGTAATTTGGGACGCGCGCGTAATCATATACCGTAGTGCGGTGACTCGTAAGGACAAAACACTTCCCAGAATCCAAAAACCCGCCCCAGAATACAAAAACACTTCCCAGAATCCAAATTGGTTTCTGGGAAAAGCTTTATTATTCTGGGACGTGTTCTGAATTTTAGGACCTGTTTTGGATTCTGGGAGGTGTTTTTTCACCACGAGCCACTGAAGGTATCAAACTGAAGCAAGTTTCTATTGCCTAATTTCAAACTGAGGCGTCTGTCTGGGTATGAGTCATTTTTTTATGGTATAAACAAGGTTGGAGAGAGGAATCCGAGATTTACAAAATCCGCGCGATTTTGTTGTCCATTAGACCCACCTATGAACGACCAATATTTCATGTTGGGTATAGGCGAGCCGCTGAGGGTTTGAAACCCTGTCCCTATTTAGGAATTTATCACCCTATTCCCCCAATTGGGACAGACTTACCCAAAATCATATACCCTGTTTAGGCCAGAGAGATAAAAAGCCATACCCTTTCCAGCGACACATCCCCGTATAGCCCATACAAGGGAGTACTCCATCCCCCACTCTCCCCACCCAAAAAAACAGAAAAACAAAAACAAAACTTCAAAAGTTACTAAGAATTATATAGAGCGTTTCCATTCACGTGACCAGCATCTATGCTGGAAATTTACTGGAACCAAAGAAAGCGTTTGCAAAAGGAAAGAAGTCAACTCCAGGAGGACAGCTCTGGGACACTAACATGGCCGCCATTTCATTGTCTTGGAACACCAATATGGCCGACGAAAACGCTCTAGAGACGACAGGACGATGTGTCCGTACATCTCTTAGTAATTAAGTTTTCAAGTATTTAAATGGCATTATCTTCTTCAATATTCGTCTGATTAACACCAAACTTGAAGATTTCTACAGCGCAATGAGCTATTAATTTCTGATTACAGCATGGGTCTTGTGTTGATAATAAAAATTTCACGTGCTTGTACCCAGCCCCCCTCGGTTTGAGGCTTTTCACGATAAACTTGCAGTTCTGAGAAACAGTGCGGAAGTAGAGAGTGAAGTTCTTGGAACTCGCTAATTGATGCTAATAAATTGAGTAACATGAAATGATATCTAATGGTTTATCTAATGAATATATGAACTAATTAAGTTGTCGATATTTTTTATCAACTTTATTTTTTATTAACACTTGATACCGTAGCCTTCTCGTATCATAAATCATACAAATAGTTGAAATAAGGTTTACGGCCAAAGTTGAATTATTGAAGGCGGCTTTAACCCACACCGATAGAAATCCTTATGTGCAACGGATTTATCTCTGCCATCATTTAAAATCAAGACGATGTCGTTCTGACGTTCGCATGGTACTGATCACGTGAACAGTGCTGGCCAATATTGAGCTAACCCGAGTACCCATAGTCTATTAATATAAATTGGTATCGGCGGGTATAGGCCTGGAGAGATTTTGCAAAATCACCGGACCCTCTCCTTGTTTTGCATTGTTGCTATAGATGAAAATTAATCATGGCTTGTAGCAAGAACGCGGAAAATGACTACAGACTGGTTGAAGATGAGGAAGGTTTAAAGAATGCTATCTCCGAACTCAAGCAGAAAAGAGAACGTAATACTTTTTTGGCTGTTGATTGTGAAGGTGTTTCGTTGAGCAGAAAGGGAGCGCTGACTATCATCACGGTCGCAACTGAAGAGAAAGCCTACATATTTGATGTGCTTAAATTGGGACAAGCCGTATTCAGTGCTGGACTTGCCAAAATACTTGAAGACAAGTCCCAAGAAAAGTTGATGTTCGATTGCCGACAAGATTCAGACGCTCTTTGGCATCAGTTTGGTGTAAAGCTAACGGGAGTCTTGGATCTTCAGCTTTTTGAAGTCATCTACCGCCGCGAATCCACTTTTCGGCGTCCGAGGGGGCGGAACAACATCCGTCGTAGCCAGAGAACAGATGAAGTAGAGAGAATCAATGGTTTTCGTCGTTGCCTTGAGCTCTATGTTGAAGACCCAAATTACATCATCGTCAAGGGGAAAGGAGGAGCTATCTTAAAGAGAGACAGCGAAGTGTGGAAAAAAAGGCCTCTGGCAGAGGTGTTATTACAGTACTGCGTTGTCGATACAAAGGCCATGTTCAAGTTGTACGATAAGATGAAGAACGTAAACGGGGGAGATCTGGAACGTCTACGAGTTGCTTCTGAAAGGTATGTCGACCTGTATCGAGGCCGAGCCAAAAGGTACTACGATCGCTACGAAACACACGCTTATCTTCCACTCGACATCATTCCAGATGAAGGAACTCTTGATTTTGCTCCCGCGAATACTGCCTGCTCCCTTTGCCATCGAAATGTTTCCTAGAGAAGAATTCAGTGGAGGTCAACTTAGAACCGGAGAACAGAAATGCAGGGTCTGTAAGGAGATACAAAGCTGGCGGAGGTAGACCGGCGAGGACGAAATCCATTCCACCAACAAGGACTAGGAATCCATGAATGTTTAATTTCTTTCTTCATGCAGTATTTAGAGGTAGATCTCTCATCAAATTTTAACTTGTACATTACGTAGATGGCCGGCCTTTCTAACGTTCCCGTGACTTTTAAGTCCCTTAACGATATGTTCCAATTAAAATTAGAAGAGAGGATTGGTTATTTAGCCATTAAACCAGATGAAAACAATGATACTTCAGTTTTATGTTGGGAGCTCCCGACCTAATCATTTGGCTTCATAACTATATGTTGTAATCAGCAAAGATCATGTAGTGTTCGGACGGTTCTAGTAGTAGTAATGAGTAAAATAATTATAAGAAAAAAGGATTTACGGATGTTCACATTAACTTTTGCAACGTTTATTAATGTTTTCAACACTGATTTGGCGATAAAACAATTATCTTATTATCACCGATCAAATTTAGAGCCACGCTATATGTGCATGTACTTGATTAAAAAATCTAGGTTTACACTGTTTAAATGCTTGAAAGAGACACATCTGTAACATCAACTTCCAAATAAATTGTAAAAATTATTCAGTAAATAAAAAGGCTGGTGTTAAAGTTACTCAACAAAATATGAAATAAGGTTTTGAACCTTTAAATAATGTAGTTGAGAATGCGCAAGTCCGTTCTTAAGCTCCGCTGCTTGCTCGGGTTTTCAAGCTTCCTTTGGAATAATTTTGCCAACACCAGATTGCGGGTTAAAGTGAGATAATAATCGACAGATCGAAGAATGACGGTGAAGTCAGTTCTACTAAAAGCCAACCATTGGGCATATTTGAGAGCCTTATTTCCTGTACATGTTATTCGCTTGCTCAAGTTTATGTGCTGATGGTTTTTCGATGGGCAGCATATGATTATGTGCGCAGGTCCCCCCCTTTTCACTTCAGAGTTCTCTTCATCACCTTAACTGTTCGCACAGTAGAATTTGACCTCAGCCGGTTGGCATAACTTAATTTAGACTAAAAGCTTTTCTTGTTTACAAAGCGCACTTGTCACCATGCTGTCATGTTTTCTTCCCGAACAACGTTTCCTCGAGATCCTTTCATTTTGCACGGATTCAAGAACTTCTTCTTTCCCGATTCCAACCCTCAAGGTCTGACTCTAAACATATTTTAACGTTAATACTATAGGCTAAGATTTCTAAAAACAAGCATTATGTATTATATATGAATATTAACAACTTCTTAGAAAAAGTATTTACGCTCTTAGCTTACTTAAAGCTATCTACTGTTGCCTGCAAGCAC